ACTTGGTTCTGCAGTTTTTATTCTAATCAAATTATACTAGAGAGGTGTAGAAAAGGCACAAATACAAATACATAAGAAAAACTGACCTCTCACCTGTTTGGTCTAAAGAAAAGGCAATGAAAAAGCAACTTGTACCATGTGACAAGGATGCTTAAGAAAGAGCAAATGAGGAATAAATGAGGATTTTTCTTTACTTTCCTACATTAAAGAAAATACATCTGGTCTAAAAAAACCACTCTGAGTTCAGGAAGCCCTCAGCTCTCTAGTCAAAGTCCATGGTTTGGTGTTGTCCACCATTCTGTCCTCACGGGCTCCACTGCCTCCAGAAAGCTCCAGAGGCACAGCCCTGTCCCACCTGCCCTGGGGGGACAGGGGGAGCTCCTCACCTGTCCCTGGGCACCCAAAGGTGTCTGTTCCTGCTGCTGGTTCACCTTCCTGGTGACACAGGGCAGTGGCCACACCCGTCCCACCCCATCCATCCTGGTTTATCTGGATTTCACTGGCAAAGCCCCCTGTGCCAGTGCAGTGTGAGGGCTCTGCTTCAGACATTTACTATTTACACTGCCTTGGGTTAATACAAAGTGGCTTTCACAACACCAGGACCACTTTTCTAGATTTTCTAAATCACTAATTACTCAACCTTTCCAACCCAACTTGTTCACTTGCTCCTTAAAGGACAGCCATTATTTTAAACTGCTCTCAAGGCAGGATTTATCACACAGTGTGTGCAGCCTGTAAGGCAAGGAGTTTATGCTCAGGATACTGTGTGCAATTCAGAAATATCCAACTGGATTATAATCATCCCTGTTCAAGCAACTCAGTCCCCTCAGAGCACCCAGACTTCTCAGGATGGGGGGTTTATGCTCCATTTGTGTAACTCCTCTCCAATCACACAACTCTCAATGACACAAAGAAAGTGCTCTTTATTTTTCCCTGTGTGCAATGTTTGTACAATGCTCATAGACTTGGTACAAGAAAGACCATTAGTTTCTATATAAAGACTGCCATAAAAGTTTTACAGTTTATCTATAAATGTATAAAGATTGTTGGTTTCGTTATAAACTCTGTTTCAGTGCCAGTGGAAAGAAAAATTACCAGCAGAATAGAAGTAGCAATCTGCATAAGTACCAGCTTGCAAGCACACATACCTCAGTCATTCCTGGAGTAATTAACTGAGCACACAATAGTTCATCAAATTACAGACAAGCCATCATACCACTGAGAGCAGCTCACAAACGGGAACCATCACCACAGCACTTCTGATTTCCTCTCCAGATGAGCTATAAAGATTAAAACAGTCAGGGACCAAATGATGCACCACTCAAAAAAACAAAAAAAACTGAAAAATATACTGCCTTTGACAAGATTGTGCAATTCCTCCTACAGCTCTCACTGATTGCTTTACTGTTTTCTATTTTTATATATTTACACAACAACTATTTGCTGTGACATTGTTTCTGACAGAAGTTTGTATCTTTGCTGCAAACTTCCCTGTACTGAAATTAACTGGCCCAGGAGAGCTGGTTATCTTGGCATTAATCTTCCAAACAGTGGACAGCCAAAATACACATGGTGATAAGGGTAAAGCAGCCTGGCCATGGTTTGGTGTTTGCAATATTCCAGTAGTACAGGATCTCACCTAAAAAAACTGACTTCATTAATAAAGTTTTGTCAGGAACCCAAACCAGAAAATACAGAAGTATTTCTCTATTTTTTAAAAGGATACTTCTCCCTGCAGTGACTGCATTTTATAAAGAAAAACTCAGTTCTCATCTGGTTTAAATTCGGATGTCATGCTAAAAAGCCAGCTCTGAAAAACTGTTGCTTATAATACCAACAATTACTGATTTCATGCTAGGTACAACCACAAACACATAAATACACATTTTGTTCTTGAAAGCCATTATAAAACAGCCCAAGAAGTTAAAACACTCTTATTTTAAAAATGTATCTCAAGATTACTCCAGCCCCCTCCTGCCAGTCAAAGGAGCCCCGTTTTACCCATTTCAAGTGGCCTGGAGCAATCATTAGCATTTTCTCCCCTTAGTAAGGCTCCTCAGTTACCTTGTCTATGACATTTTCTGTAAAATATTCCCTCATACAGTTATTTAACAGATTTAAACCGTAGATGTCATTGTGGTCTGAACGTGTCAAAGACAACTTGAGGGAAAAAAATCAGGACACGCAGAATTCACTTTGTCAGTAATTACAATCAAAATTCCTGCAATGTGGCTGGCCTGCTCATTACTTCCTGACTTTGTATCAAACCCCTTATTTACATTTCAGATTACATTTTTCATGAAACAGTAAGATCTATCAGAGCTGAGAGGACTGAAATAATGAGGGAGAAATATTTTAATAAAACGTGTTGGGTCTGCATTACTTCCGTGTCAGAAAGAAAGGTTTCTTCTGTAGCCATGGATCATTTATTCTGTCTCTAAATGAGAAGCAAAAGATGAAACTGATGAACTTTTACTGCCCATTTGTCTTTAGCAGACAATTAAGACAGAAGATCAAAATGGATTATCATACCACGCAGACAACTGGCCCAACAGTAATACATCTCCGGGACCACAGATTTGTAACTCTCTTTTATCCCTCCCCTTTCTTCTTACTCCTTTTTCCTCTCTAAAGGCAATGCTGGCTTTGTGGCTCAAGGGGAGCCAAAAGGCTGGTCATCATTATTCAGTCACAGATGTCAATCTAACCTCCCTTTTTTCTCAGTTTCTAAAGCAGTGAGGCACAATAATTTGTGACAGATTCTTTTACTGTAAGGTACAAAGAACACACAGAATAAAACATCTAGCAGCAGCGAGGGTCTCTGATCAGATGTGCTGGTACATGGGAAATACAGTGTATGTAAAAACAAGCACTGAGAGTTTAGATGAATAAAAAAAAACTTGAGGTGTTTTTCCTTTTTTTTTTTTCCTCTTACTAATAAGTGCTTTACCTTGTGTTGATTTAACTCAAATATTCCTTCTGGATTAAATCATAAATGTTTGATTGCTAGAAACAACTTTTGCCTGCACTACCATGCAGATCATCTCTCTCCCTTGCATACAGAAACACATGGAGAAATCGAGGGGTTTGCACTGTGCATCTTGGGCTGCAGGGACTTGGCACTCTGACAATTTTTTTCTTCCAAAAAAACAATAAACCAGAAGCTTTAAGAAATAAACCTAACTGGCCTGATTTGTAACCTATATATTTCTCAGAGCTCTAAATTCATCAGTAAAAACATGGATGAAGCTCTTCCTCTCTGGTTTACTTAAATGTTCACAGGTGATTTTTCAAATCCAGATCTGTCAGCTCTGGACATGTTCTCCTCTTTCAGAATGTCCAGTTACCAGGACCAGAAAATACTCCTGTGCATCAACAGGAAAAACGTTTCTGAAATCTACTCGAGGCTGAGGAGTTCAGCCTCCTCTCTTTTGCTTCCCCTTTAAGTTTGCATGTGCAAAATACGTGACAATGTAAGAACCCACCCCCAGAGCCACACAAACACAGCTCTGTGTGTTTTGGGGGGTCTGACATCAGCATCGGAAACTCTGACTGGGACTGGGTGAACATCTTAAGAATTTTTATGAGCCTGTGGCTCCTCTGAGTTTGATTCAGTCTTGCATATTCATAGCAATATTATACAAGTCTAATCATTTGCAGCAGAAGAAAGGGGGCTGTTAAGAATTTTATGAAGTCAATTGTATTACCAGGCTCTCCTGTAACACCTTGGTCATGGACACGAGTGACTGTCCCAGCTCTGAAGGACCATCAGCTCACACCCAACTGACTGATCACTGCACAGGGTGCTGGAAAGAAGTCAGTCCTCAGGTAAACACAAACACAGGCACGTTTATTAACAAATCACAGACCTACAGTGGCAATGGGGCTGCAGTCCTTCACAAGGGTTAGTTCCATGCTGTACCCAAGTGCACAGGAAGTCCTAACAATGAACTACAGTGAAAAGCAGTTCAATAGCTGCTTTGAAAAAATATTACTGCTACTGCTACAAACCCACCCAGAAGGCCTGGTCAAGGTCCCCCTGCACAGAGTGATTATAGCCCAACATGAAAACGTTTGCCCTGGCCCTGGCCAGCCAGCACAGCTCACAATTTGTGAAATGCTTCAGTCTAAATGACACACAATTTCATGTGGCATGAATACATAACTAGAGGGAAAGGACCTGAGACAAAACAGCTGTGCTGACCCTAACCAGTTATCACCCAAAACAGGGACTCGTTGAGGCAGAAGTTATTGTTATATTAAACAGTTATACAATGCCATAAGTTCAGCACTTCCCAGGAATTGAGGTGCAGGAGCTCAGCTGGCACTGACACCCCAGTGCTGACCACCAGCACCCACAGGAACTCCAGTGGCCTTAAGACACCCCAGGAATAATCCCCCTCCCCAAGCTCCGACCCCAGCCCAGTGCACTCCTGAGGAGACACAGGAGAGCACAGAAAACACAACGTAACCTGAAGCTGCTCATTCCGAGTCAGCCACAGACCCGGGGAAAAATCCCTAACCCAACCTGTGTTCCAACTAAATGATGAACCCCCGTGTGTCCCACCCACACATGTGGGGTCACACCATCCCTCTGAGCCGAGCAGAGGCTGCCTGAGCAGGCAGGAATTCCAAAAATGCGCTGGAGTGCCAGGTGCCCAGTTAAACACAGCCATAAACCCTCACACAATGCCGAGAGCTCTGCCAAATGAACCGCGGCTCTGGCACCCAAAGGCAAAAAGGGAAATTTATTAATCAATTTTCCTGCCCGCTCTCATGTTCCCTCGTAAACTCGGGGCTGTAAACCAACCTTCCGAGAGCCCAGTTCTTCCCCTTGCTGCCTTCAGTGTAAAAATGTTTGTATCCTTCTGCTCCTAATTACAGCTTCTTTTTCTTTCTAAGAATGCATTTATCTCTTTCAGTAAAAAGAGCAGCAATAATATGTTGAACAACCCTGAAATAAATTTTGTCATGTAAAAAATTAATTACGCATTCCAAACCTGGTCACTGTAGCCCTCTGGGAATTGCCTCCGCACCTCAGGATCTGTAAATAATTGACAGATAATATTAATTGGCTTTGGATTAGTGAGCAAGCAGAGAATCACACATTAATATTTGATCAGAAGATGATAGCAACCCTGGCAGGGGATCCAAGGAGGGCAGCTGAGGCTGCTGTGTTGATAAGAGCAGGGAAGGACTTTTCAAGGCTCTCCCTTTACCCTCCTCCAGAAAGACAAAAAACTGTGCATAAAACACACACAAAACACGTGAAATCAAAAATGTCTGTGTGCACATACACACATATATATGTAAATATATATATTTATCTATATATTATTTTATAAGGGGAGCCCTGGTGCTGGACTGAACTCCAGGCTGTTACCTTGTGCAATATCTTTCTGGCTGTGATTTGCCAGCTGGGCTTGTCACCAGGAAATGGTTACCCAGGGCACTGAATTTGGGTTAAAATCACACCAGTTCTGCCAGCTCCAGACACTGCACTGGTTTATCTCCACAGACAGTTTTCAGTGATACCAGATTACAAATCTCTCAAAATTACTTCATGTTAAGGTGTGCTCCCCAGAAGACAAAAATATTTATCCAGAATTCGAAAGAGGCAATTAAGGCAGCCCTGGAACCTCTCCATCAGGAAAACAAGTGTGAAACACTTCAGATTAGCAAGCATTCCAGACTGATGCAATGTCCTTATTCCTCTGGCTGTCAGAATAAATAATATGGTAGTATTCCCTGAGAAGTTATCTTAAATTTAATTAGAGATGTTCATAAAACAACAGAATATCATGATTGAAATTATTTATACGACAACCTATTTAAAACAGACCTCTTCAAAGCCACGCGCTTTTCAAAGGGATACAGTGGAGAAGGCCACATTCCATTCCACAATTATTCCTTTTTTAATTACAAAAACCAAACCAAACACTCAGGCAAGAGTTCAAGACAGAGTGTAAAGCACTGGAACACCCAAGGTTATCCCCAGAGCCCCTGCCCGGGGTGTGGGACGCTCTGCCCAGCCCTGCCCATTCCGTGGCAGTGACACTGTGACACAGCCCCAGGGGGACTGCACGAGGCCAGCCCCAGCTCAGCTGCAGGGCAGGGAGTCTGGCTGTGGCACCGTCCCCTGGGGTCCCGGGTTCTCAGGGCAGGTCACTGAGGGATCCGTTCGGCCATCGCTGGTTCCGCTGCCAGCAGGTGCCAACTCCTTGTGAGGTGTGTTCCTCCTGCAGGACAAATCCAACAGCCTGGACCTTTATAAACCTCCCAGCTGAACGTTTTGCAGAGAATCAGGTGCTGAGTGTTAATGTTTCACCAGGGCACACAGACAGTCACATGTACAGTGCATCACACTTGAGCAAACCCTTCTACACAAACACAGCAAAGCAGAAACAAAGCAAGGGATCACCTTTTAAAGCCTTAGTTTGAAAATTCTTCAGTCTCTACACAGGTGAGTGAAGTGTCCAAACACACAGACAGATGTGCCCAGCTGTGCTGCCATGAGCACCCTCCACACACAATTAGCAATGAAGGGACAGTCCAGCTTCACACCTCAGCACAGCAAGTGAGGAGCAGTGGAGAGAGTAAATTATGCAACTATTAAGTTGCATATTTTAAAATAATTTTCAAACTAATTATTTAAGGGTAAGATTTCAGGATTTCACAGGAAAAAAGACCAAGCAACGACTCAATCAAAGAAATAAATCTGTATTGCTGAAGAAACCCGTAATGGTGTCTGGAATGTGATACCAACATTCCCCCCCTTCTACTGATCCATTGCTCTCAAATTTAATATAAATATATATATACATGTACTGACACATATTTTATCATTTACCACTGTTTTAGAGAAATGAGGAACCAAATTTGACACAAATGCACAGTGTGTTTGCTCTAAACACATTCCTCCATAGATGGCAGGCCGCATTGTCATTCTTGAAAGATCCAACAAAACAGATTAGTCACACAAAGTAACTCTGTGTGTGTGTGTAAACATGTATTTTTCCTGTTTTCTCAGCATCTTGAAGGCTCTTCTGTGTTCCAGGAGCTCCCTGGCACAAGGCACAAGGCCAGGCTGCAGGACTCTGCTTGACCACATTTCTGGGAGCCCTGAAAGCCCCTTCCCAGATGACCCATCAGAGATGAGGGTCTGCGCAGCTTTGTGGGGCTCCAGGATTGACGTGTGAGCACAGCAGGTACAGGGTACCCTGGGCAAACACATCCCTGCCAGTGCCTTTACTGTCTCACAGCCAGGGGGGCACTGCCCTGGGTGTCACAGGCCCCTGTGACACAGGGACACGGGTTGTGTCCAGCCTCAGGGGGGCCGACCCAGCCAGACCTGAACCCCGCAGGGAAGGGCCCCCCTTTGGGATGTGCCTGGCAGCCTCCCAGCCTCATGTTTGCACAAGGACTTTCTATTTAACACTGTGGCAGCTCCGTCACTTTGGCTTTTAAATGGTCTGGGAATATTGACTAAACTTGCAGCATCTTTATTTGGAAAACACTACAAAAGGGGAAAAGAAACTTCATCACATCTTACTATGGCTTTTATCACCCATTCTTTGCTGGTAACCCAGTGTGCATGAGAAAGGTGTTCTCAACTGCACTGACCTACACATACACACACAGCAAATCTACATTTCATTCTATGTGGGTGTGACATGAAGTTCCAGGAAGCTGGAGCACCCTCACTACATCAAGAGGACTGACAGAAACCCATACTTTGAAATAGTGGCCCTCAAGACACCTGACTATGGAATATAAAGTTCTACAAACCAAACATTGCTGTTACTCAGTATGGCCAGGCTCTGTCCTGAAAGGACAAGCACAGGACACCCTATAATCCCGATGGATATGATATCTGAATCATTCTGAACAGGAGAAAATGGTCAGACCATCAGGGATACAGGTGGGTAGCCCAGCCAAGCACTCAGGATTCAGCTTTAATCAGCACCATTAGGATCAGGAAAAACTGCTTCAGCACCCGTGTGAAAATACTTGGGAAAGACATGTACAGAACTGTCAACTCTGCCTGTAAAACTAAAGTAACTTGAGAACTTCAAACACTTTAACTCGCAGTAATTTGTTTTGCACAGCACATGCAAACAGTGAGATGCAGCTCCATTGTAGCTCCAGACAGCAAGAAAACCCTTTGCAACTCAAAACACAGGGAACGCTGTTATTCCAGGTACTTAACAGGCTTTCGAGTGAAATGATGCAAAGTAAACACATGTAAAATACTTTTTTCAAGTTCAGAAGAGTGGAATCTATTTGCTGACACCAGAACAAGGGAAGAGCCAGACTGAAATGCTGCCCAGCCTCTTGCCCCACAACAGCAAAGCTCTGAGCAGTCACTGATAAGGTTACAGAGCTCTGAAAGCTCAGCTGAGGGCAGGAGACCCTGCAAATCACGGCCAAACACAGGGCAAGTGAACCTCAGACTGGAAAAATCACAGGAATTATGGAGCTGCTTCTCAAACTAAACTTCTCCCAAACCCCAAAACAAGAACTCAGGTTGTGCCACAGGTTGAACCTGTGGCATGGTAACCTAGTATCTCCTGTTTATCTTTCATTACACCTGATTTGGTAGTTCCAGCTCACAAAGACGACAAGATCCACACAGTTTGTGCCTAAAGCAACTGCTGACAAACAGTCATCTATCAATATTAATCACATGGTGAAATACAGCACTGGAAGTTGTAAGTTACAAGTGTAAAGCAGTAAGAATACAAACAATAACACTCCAAAATAAAGCTAAAATACACCACCCCACCTGGAATCTCCCATTCTTACATGGGTGTAAGTGCAGTGAAATACATCTGTCACAAACTTAAACTGCTGGTACCAAGTCAAATGTTAATTTTATTCCTATTGCTTACACTCAGGTTTAGAAAGGCTTTAAACCAATGGCATGTCACACAAATGTCCTGAGATTCACTTCCCAACCTGACACACATCACTGGAAGCCTCTTCCCAGAGGATACAGCTCCACACTAAGCAGCTGCTGCCGTGAGATCTCAGCTGGCCACAGAGCTGGAGCTGCCCTGGCCCTTGTTCCTCAGCACAGACACCCTGGGAGAGCTGTTTGGAAAACCACCTATGGAAGGATTCCGTGGCTGCTCCTGCAGCACTTTCCTTTGCAATGATTTCAAGAGGGGCTTCCCAGGGAAGCGATGGAATCACTTCTCACACGACCAGCGGGCGACTGAGCGTGGGGTTATTCTGGAAGGGACAGCAGAGCAAGGCTTTGCTGCACCATTTCAGCAGCAGCTGAGTCCTGGCCGGGCATTTATAGGTTCTCTCCAAATGGGGAGCACAAAGCCCTGATCCCACAGGGGTGAGCACAGTTCTCCCTGCCAACACACTCAGCGTTTCCCTCCAGGAGCAGAGATTCCACACCGCTCTGGGTGCATTGTGCAGAGCACTGTATTGATTGCTCAACCACATTCAGGCTATTATTGTCCGTATTTCATTAAAAACGTGAATGTTTCCAAGTTCTAAAAGCTATTGCTGCCTCCCCCTGCACAATCTTGTCCAACAAAAAGCCAAATCCAGCCGAATATTGAAATTAGCTGTGAACTGTATAATCCCATTGTTCAATTTCATGGCATTTAAGACACTACCTTCCCCTCCTCACAAGTCTGCATGTTAATCCATGCTGGAACCTGATTTAATTTTCCAGATGACAGGATGGGAACATGCTACAATGGCATATTAGTGTAACTATGCTGCTCTTTTACTCTCAACTTTTCTGACATTATAAAGTGAGTTTTGCCTTTAAAAGAGGCATGCTTGGTTACTTCTAAAAATAGCCCAACTCGAACTGGTCTGTTATTTGAATGGTATGGAAATTATAAAACCAGGGAAGTTTTCAAAAAATTACCAGAAAATACTTCCCAGAGTTAACCATGCAAACCCAACACAAACTGACCTGCTCCTTTTGATGAAAGTCAGTCAACTTAATCTGTACTGGCTACACATCATTCAGATACACCAATCCCAAACTGAAAAATAGAGTGAAAATCACCTCAT